GAAAGGAGTACTTAATCCTCTTCTATGCCATAAAGGAGAGCTCTGTTTCTTAAGTTTTGGGTCATGTCATTTTTTAATAGTAAACATTAATTTTTTAGTCCTTGTTATCTGAGTAAAGTTTTGGGTGCCTCAAACAATTTCCTTCACCTTCTAACCGTAAGGTAATGTGTTTGAACACACTGAACAGTTTTTCAGAAGAAGGACCTGGTGATCTACTCCTTTAATAATTGCAGCCAAGAAACTACAGAGCAGTTCTAGTCTGTAGCACACAGGTCATTGTGAGTTGGAATTCACTAAATGGCAAAAGATTTATTTTGTGTTTTTGGGTATCTTAGATAGTGTTCCTTATCATACAGACTGACACCTCCAAAAGGGGCAATCTGAACATGACAGGGAAAAATACGCATTTGCTGGTTTAGAGATTCAAGCATAATAATATAGCAAAAGAATTTAAGAATCAAAATTAGGAAATTCTCAACTTGAAAAGACTGGTGATTATAGGAGTTTACATAGGTGTCTGTAGTAATCCAGCAATCTACAAATTCCCTTAAAATCACAGATGCCTGTACATATTACCCAGTAATGATTTTGTACATTCAAAGTCAAGCACTGCTGATTGCAAATTCTTCAGCTCAAATACAAAATTTCTTCTTTGAATAAGGAAGACCGAAGGAGAATCAATTAGAGTGCTAGAGAAGAATATTGAAAGTACCAGGGACGGCTAAAAAGGATAAACTCATTTGTCTTTGAAGAAGGGTCACCAGTATGCTCCTTAGAGGCAAGACGTCATCTTACATACTTTGGACATATTGTCAGGAGAGACCAGTCCCTGAAGAACGACATCATGTTAGGTAAACTGGAGGGGCAGTGAAAAAGACGAAGGCCTTCTACAAGATGGATTGACATAGTAGCTTCAACAATAGACTTAGGCATAGGAACAAGTTGGGGATAGTGCAGGACCATGCATTGTTTTGTCCTTTTTTGCATAGGGTCACTGTGGGTCAAGATCAATTTGATGACACCAAACAATATATATGAACTAGATAGGAAGCAACGATTGTTGGGCATATAATTGTCATTATATAGTTATCAACAAATCGTCAGTAGATACTATAAAAATAGTCCTTTCTGTGTGGTTATAGACATGTGTGGGTCCTGTGTTTTTTTAATGGAGAAGATTTATTTCTAAGTACATGATAGTTCCAGTCATTTCCTATTGCCTTTCACTTAGGTTACTTCACTCTTTTATGCTGCTCGCTTGCCTAATGACTATAGATAGTAATTTGAATTAATGATCCTTAAATTGTTGTTGTTAATATTGGCATTAGTGAACCAGTGGTGGACTGTGACTTACAATGTAATATGGATTATCCACGTTTGACATCCAGTCACAATATGCACAGCTACCACTAGAATCTTGTGTATTGTTAGAATAATGAACAAGTTTCAGCACAATTTTAGGTAAGACTGTCTAGAAAGAAATTGTGACAGTGAGCCATAAAAAAACCCAATAGATCACAATGATTTGATCTGCAACCAATCGTGGAGATGACACAGGACTAGGCAGCAGTTTGTTCTTTTGTGCCTGGGATCACCTTGAGTTGAAGACTGGCCAAAGTGCAGCTAACATTATTATACCTCCAGTAGATAGCATGGATACCTGGGCCCTACAAATAGGTACACACTCAGCTGCTGTTAGCCAAGTAGTTGGAGGTTATAATTTACCCACTGACATCATGAAAGAAAAGTCTAGTGGGATACTTTTAAAACTCAGCCGTCGACAAACCTATGGAACACAGGTATGCTCTGATACACATGCTGCTCTGGCTGCTACTGAGTAACAATGCTTTGTATTCAGAGGGTACTCAATAATTTGAAAGATACCCAATGACAATGAGTCAATTGTGACTCACAGCAACTCTATGGAACAGAGTAGAAACGACCTGTGGGTTTTCAAGGCTTATAAGCTCTTCACGAGAGTAGAAAGCCTCATCTTTCTTCCACTAAGATATCATAGGTGGATAATATTGCTGCTGAATTTTGAAATGCCTTGTAGCTTTATCATACTTAAAGATTCAAGAATGTTAAATAATGCTTTAAATATGAAACTTGGTGTTTTCATTAATTATTGAAATTCTCAGTTGTGTCTTTGAAAGCTACTACTGAAATGTGTTGCTTAGATGAGTGTTAGAGAGGCCTGTTGGTGTGGTGGATTACATGTTGGGCTGCTAATCACAAGGTTATCAGTTCAAAACAAGCAGCTGCTGCCCAGAAGAAAGGAGGTAGAGTCTCAGAAACCCTACGGGGCAGTTCTATCCAGTCTGATAGGATCTATATGAGTCAGAATTGACTTGATGGCAGTGAATTTGTTTGTTTTTAACCTGGGTATTTGAAAAGAATAGTTAGAAATCACTTAAATATTTGTCCTTCAACACTGGAGGCACAGTTCGGGAATTGTGCCCAATCTGACCACATGGGGTGAAATGCTAAGGGTGTGCAACAGCAGCAAGGGGAGCAAAGCAGTGAAGTCCCTGGCGGTTACTAAAAACAGACTTGGGGGCCAACATGTGGCACCCCATCAAACTGGGCTGGAAAACACTCCTAAAGGTCAACAAACAGACCTTGAACTATTTATAGGCTTTTCCTTTTTTTTTTTTGGGTGGGGTTTTTGTTTGTTTTATCTTTTGTTATTTGCTTTTGCTCTGTTTTGTGTTTTGTTTTTGTACTTATTGTTGTCTCTACATGTCTGTGTAGATAAGATAGGTGAGATAAACAAACCGGAGGAGAAAAGGGGACCCGTGGACCAGGGGAGGGGGCCAGGGGAGAAGAGGAGGTAGGGTAAAGGAAGTGGGTGTTAACAAACCCAGGGACAAGGGAACAACAAGTGATCTAAAATTGGTGGTGAGGAGGGTGTAGGAGGCCTGGTAGGACTTGATCAAGGGCAATGTAACCGAGAGGAATTACTGAAACCAGAATGAAGGCCAAACATGATAGTGGGACAAGAGGAAAAGTAAAAGGAAATAGAGGAAAGAACTAGGAGGCAAAAGACATTTATAGAGGTCTAAATACAGGCATGTACATATGTAAATATATAGTAACGATAGAGAAATAGATTGATGTACATATATTTATATGTTAAGTATTAAGGTAGCAGACAGACATTGGGCCTTTGCTCAAGTACTCCCTCAACGCAAGAACACTTTGTTCTAATAACCTGAATCCCCAAAATGATCACTGAAGACAAAATGGGTGCATAAGCAAATGGGATGAAGGAAGCTGATGGTGCCCAGCTATCAAAAGATGTAGCATCTGTGGTCTTAAAGACTTGATGATACATAAGCGGCCATCTAGCTGAGAAGCAACAAAATGCCCATGGAAAAAGCACACCAGCCTATGTGATCATGAGGTATCAGTGGGATCAGGTATCAGCCATCAAAGACCCAGAACAAAAAAATTATATCAATGTGAATGAGGGGGAGTGCGGAGTGGAGACCCAAAGCCCATCGGTAGACAATTGGACATTTCCTTACAAAATGGTCACAAGGAAGAGAAGAGCCAGTGAGGATGCAGTATAGCACCAATGAAACATACAACTTACTTCTAGTTCTTTAATGCTTCCCCTCCCCACCTCAACTATCTACCCCAATTCTATCTTACAAATCCAGCTAGGCCAGAGCATGTACATGGGTACAGATAAGAGCTGGAAATAGGAAATCCAGGGCAGATAAGCCCCCCAGGACCAGCAATGAGATTAGCAATACCAGGAGGGGGAGGGGAAGGTGGGGGGAGAAAGGGGGCACCGATCACAATGATCTACATATAACTCCCTCCCAGGGGGACGGACAACAGAAAAGTGGGTGAAGGGAGACATTGGTCAGTGTAAGACATGAAAAAATAATAATTTATAAATTATCATGGGTTCATGGGGGAGGGAGGGGGGAAATGAGGAGCCAATACCAAAGGCTCAAGTAGAAAGACAATGTTTTGAAAATGATGGCAACAAATGTACAATTGTGCTTGACACAATGGTTGTATATTTGGATTGTGATAGGAGCCCCCAATAAAATTATTTTTTTTAATTGCCCTTTTTATGTCTGTACCTTTGGCTGGAATGACAACCCATTCGTAATATTTTTACTGTTTATTTATTAGTGAAGTTAACTATTATAGGGTTTTGTTTATGCTTTTTAACTGTTTTCATTATTTTGTGGATTTACTATAAGGAATAGATATACATTTGTTTGACAGACCAGAGCTGGTTATCAAGGTTGAGGTTTTATACTGCAGTGCTATTTTTAAGCTGCTGCCTTTCATTCATAAATTTTGAGTATATATTGTTTTTTTTTAAATGTGAATTATGTGAAGGTTACAATCAAATCATCAGTTTTACATTCAACAACTTGTCTAGCCTCTGAATGTCTTGCCTAAGGATTGCATATACTTTTTTAAATGGTAGTTTATAAAATTGTACTGACTGTATTGATTCCATTGCAGTGAGTTTGGTGTTTTTGCTTTGTTTTATTTTGGTGATGCAAGTGGATTGTAACCTAATTAAAAGTTGATAGTTCAAATGCACCCAGTGACTCAACAGCAGTGTTTTCAGGCCGGAAGGCGGAGCGGGTTAGGGTTTGTTGTTTTGTTTGAGTCTATACAAAATTAAGTTATTTTAGTTTCATCAGAAATGTTTAGTAAGAAAAATTACTATATTATATTTTCTGTAAGAATCTCATATGATAATTCCTGGATTCCATTGTATAAATAGCAATATAAAACTTTTTAGTTCTGTTTTCCCAAAGAAATCAGGTGGGGTAATATTACTTTAATGATTTGAATGTATTGAACTTGTTTCTTGGGCAGTAAGCTTGTTTTATTTTTGATCTGATATGAATAAAATCATCTCTACCAATAAATCATGTAAATACATTGACTTCACAATTAACAGATATGATGCTGAACAACTTGTTTCATTTTAAGTATTTTTAATTTTCTTTGTTTTGAAGCTTCTCAGCCTGTTGATAACCATGTTAGCCCGTCTTCATATTTGAGCCAAACACCAGCATCACCATCCAGATACTCTCCAGTTTCAAAATCAATGCTTGGAGATGATGAAATCACAAGGTAAGAAACTACACATTCATCTTTCTTACATAAAGTTAACTCTGTTAGTTGTAGTTCCAATTAACCATGTAAGGGAGCCACAGTTTTCTTAGTAAAACTTTTTTTTGGTAAATGATGACTTTAAAGTTGATTTCCCTCACCCCACCCCCATATTGAGAAGGCTGTAGTGTATAAACTTGAAGGGGCTTTAAAAAGTTTGTGGGAAATCCTCATTTTTCAATTCCATTTTCATGAACTTTCTGAAGTATCTTTGTATTTCACATACCAACTATGTTACTGCTCATCCTTAGAAACTAGATTAATTTTAAAACTTTATTAGTAATATACTTAAGGAATATCCTATAAACTATTGTAGCAATTATTTTGTTAATTCTCAATTCAACAAGGGGTATTTTCTTTATTTGGTCTATACTTTTGATATCCTGATAACTAAAACTTACTTCCATCTAACATTAGTTACTACACTGAATTTTAGAGTAACTATCTTTTTGTCCCAACAAAATCTAATAAGTTTAGAGAAATACCTGAAAAGGTATTTTAAAGCTTTTTAAAACTATTATTCAGTATAGTAATATTACATTTATAGTTTGTAGTGGTAATTGTCAGCAAGTTGAAACCCTTTGAAACTACCAGCCACTCCATGTGAGAAAGACAGGAGTTTGTACTGTGGTAAAGAGTTATAGACGCTCATGATGGCAGTGAGTTTGGTTTTTTATTATTGTTATTCTTATTTTGGAAACTTAACTATTCTCCGTGTCTGACTCCAGACTCTTGGCAGAATATTTGTCTTTGTCCTCTTCAAGAGTAAATGCTGTTAGAAACTTAGTGGGTACTTGGTAATTGTGTTGGAATGAGAATGAAAATTACAGTACTACAAAGGGAAGTGTTCTTGATCTATTTGCAGTATGAATGTTAGGTTATTTGTCTTTAGGTAGTGCTCTCAGACTTTTTTGTTGTTGTTACAGAAATAAAGAGAAAAACTGTTCATGGATTTTTTTCTCTACGCTCTTTTCATAGTTTGCCACTTAAAATACATGGTTTTCTTTTCTGCCTGTTGTCTGTCACACAAATACTTTTACTATGTGTTTAACTTTTCTGTGAGGCAGTATTTCACTTAACCAGAATATATCCCCTAATTTGCTATCTTTGTTAGCATATCATAGTTTAATTTCCCCTTAGTCAACTTTTTTGCTTCTTGTTATCATTTCAGCTGCACATATTCTGAAATCATTGTGCCACATCTTTTAAATTAATATAACTTTAACATGAAAGAAGTGGTTATCTTTAATATGATATTAAATACCTAATTTTTCCAGAAAAGATTTGATTTTTGCGGGGAATTCTATTAAGGTTATAATGTATAAAGTCCTGTCCTTGTCTTGTATATTATTTTCTTAACTATAATTTACTAAATATTTGTGTAAATACATACACATATACTCCTGCTTCTTTTATATTGACTATCTTAATTTTGACATTTTGCAAGTCCCACAATAAAAACTATCTATTTAAGCTAACTTAAAGCCCCACATATTTTAAGTGAAAGAATGCCTTGATTCTTCCTATTATCTCTCACCCCATTCTTGGATGCAAAAAAACCTTTTTAAAGTAAAAAAAGGCTACACATCAGTTCTTATGTCCATTAAACCTATAGGCATGATCGTATGTCTCCTCTAATCAGGGCCTTCCTATATCCTAGCCAGTCCTACGGGCTGGGGCCTGCCCCACCATCTTAGCAGAGTTGCAGCTTGGCTTTAGCCTTTCATCTGTATGCATTTAGTGCTTACCTATATCTTTAATTTAATATAAGAATTTTAAAATAATGGAATTTTTCCATGAACTTTTTGAAGTCGTGTTTTATTTTCCTAAGTAGGCATTTATTATTTTAATTTTCACATTCTTGTTTTCCTTTTTATTTTGGTTTCTTGTTCTTTAATATAAGCTAATAATAACTAGTTTTAGGGTTGTTTTTCTTGTTACTTCGACGTCTAATTTTTAGGTTTACAAAGAATCTCTCTAGCTTTTAAAAATGTTGGTAATATAAGGGATAGGTTTATCCCTTGATAAACATTGAACAGTTAAACCTTTATCAGTTGGTCCCCCTCTGATGCACTCTAGACCTGTTCTCATTTTCAGCATTATCTATATTTTTGTTTTGTTTTTGTTTGTTCATATTAGGGTGTATCTCAGAGGTGTCATATCATTGGAAGTTACCTTTTTGAAGTTGTGGTATCTGTTATTTGGTATATGAAACCTAGGATTGATGAACCCACAGGGACAGCAAATAGAATAAGGTTTTCAAGGACGGGAAAAGGGATACAATGTCAAGGAGTCTAAGAAGGAAAAGAATTTGGAAACAGATTGTGTAGCAGTTATACAATACTGCTTGACATGATTGAACTATAGAATGACATGATTGAACTATAGAATGATATATGTATTAACTCCCAATTAATAATGAATTTTTGAAAAATAAGAGTTATCAATAAAAAATTACCACTGATACAGTACATCAAGTTCAATTAAAATTTAAGATTTTTAATATATTTTTTAACGTTTAGGGAACCAAGAAAAGTTGTTCTTCATCGTGGCTCAACAGGCCTTGGTTTCAACATTGTAGGAGGTGAGGCTGGAGAAGGGATATTTATCTCCTTTATACTGGCTGGAGGACCTGCCGATCTCAGCGGAGAGCTCAGAAAGGGAGATCGCATTATATCGGTATGGTGCAGGAATCAACATAGTACTACTTTAAAACTTAATTATAAATCACAGATCTGTTTTATGTAGATTTTCTTTTAATGTTTTAGTAATGTGCTCTACAGGAACATGCATTCTCTCTTGACTGCAAGGTTCTGTATACGTCTACTAACTCATGCTTGTTATAACATTTCTATATTACCAACTTGATTTATCTAATACTGAGACATTTTTTAAGCTGTCCAAATATAATGATAGGTTTAGCATTGAAATTATACTATCAGGTATCCTTAAAATTGTCATTCCTTCCTGGTGAGGTAATATTTTTATCATTGTGTAATAGACCTCTTTAATCATAATTGTGGTTTTTGGCTTGAATCTCTGTCACTTGATATTAATGTAGCTGTGTTAACTTTAGGAGCTCTGGTGGCACAGTGGTTAAGTGCTCAGTTGTTAATTGAAAGGTCAGCTGTTTGAAACCACCAGCCGCTCCATAGAAGACATGCATGGCAGTCTTAGAAATTGCAGCCTCGGAAAACGCTTGGGGGCAGATACACTCTATCCTTATAGCATCACTGTAAGTCAGAATCAACTCAAAAGCTGTGGGGTTTTGTGGATATATTCACTCCTCCACGGCCCCCTTGATAGTTACCCCAAACATATTTTTTTTTACTTTCCATTGTGCTTGCATGTGGTTATTTATTACAATTTTAGACAAACTGCTAACTAATATTTCTATTACTCTCCCCAATAGTACAATACAAAGGTCTTGGGAAGCCTTGATTCTATCACGCTGTTTTCAATATTATATTTATTTTATTTTTATGCCATATAATTTAGTCATTTAAAATTTTTTCTCTTTGATAATTAAGCCATATGGTCTGCAGTGTCTTTATTGACCATTGTTTGTATCTCACTTCTTTCTTGGTGTTTCTTAGTGGGTAACAGCATTTTGGATCAACAAGTTATTGTTTAAGACTTGTTATTTAGTATTTCTAGCTCTATGTACCACAAACTAGTCGAATTTTCCTTAGTGATTGTAAAAAGCAAAGTCTCAAATATCCAAATTATCCTTAATGAGAGCCTTGCTTTACTAATTCTTTCATCAATAATTTTGCCGGAAAATATCTGTTTTTTCATTTGTGCATAAATTTAGTTCAATTTAGCATTTTAGGTTGAGAGCTGTTGTCTCTGACTACTTTGAAGATACTGTTTTATGCTTTCTGCTTTCATTCTTACTGTTCTTTGTATACAATTTTTTTTCTCTGTGGTTTGCTTTTAAGAATTCTTTGTGGTATACTCCAGTGACACTAAAATACACCTCTCGTTAGCCTTTTATTATTCTGATTGAGGTTCAGTATGATCCTAAATCAGAGGAGTTGTGTGTTTTCTTCATTCTAGAAACTTCTTAGTTATTGACGTGTCACATTTTTCTGTTCCCTTGTTATATTAATTCTGGCCCGTGAAAGGACTTTCTACATTCTTTCCTCCATGTCTCTTCATATTTTTTAGTGCTGTCTCCTTGCACTGTATTTCTTCAGATCTGCTTATTGCTCATAGATTTATGCATCTCTATCCAATCAGCTCCTTAAGCCAAAACTAAGATTTTAATTTCAGTGGATGATGTTTGGTTCCTTTTTTTTTTTTGGTCTGCTTTGGTATTTTCAGTGAAGGTTTGATTACTTTGTTTTCAGATTTTCCTTTTAGATCTTTATTTTAACAGGTTTTATTTTTTTCTATGAAATACTTCTATTTTCTAAAGTTTGTAGGTGTCTAATGCATGCTGTTTCATAATGACTCATGATGACTTTTCTCATATTCTAAATTTTGCATTACGAGCTTATTTTCAGTAGTACTTCATTTTTGGACATCCAGTGCTATCTGAATTTTGGGGTGGGGGGAATAAAGGATGTTTCTACATAAATGTTTTACATTAGATATAGTAAGCTCCCAACATTATAATTTTATCACCCTTTTTCCAATAGGGGAAAACACTAAAGTTTAAGGATAAATTTATCCATAGTAACTAATAATAGCTAATAAATAGTAAAGTCGGGATTCCTCCTGGCCACTGTATTGTGCTATACTGCTTTTTGTTTGTTTTTTAATTAAAACAGGTTAGCTAATATTTTCTGAAACTTTATTTTTGAGATCTAGAAATACTATATTCTAGATCAACATTCTTATATGTTATTGTTAACTCTTTGGAATCATTTCTTTTGAATCAAAGAGGCTTTTCCAACTACAAATATAAAATAAGGAAAGCAGAATATTCCTAGTTGAATTAAATAAAGATATTATGTGTGTGTCTGGAAGATAATATGAAAATAATATTAGATATATAAATTGTAGTTTTTACAAATTTCCCGATTAGTCCTCATCATTTCATCATCCCCATACATACTTAGACACATCAACATATTTCTTCCAACCTACTGTTTTGAGAATATACTTCACATATGGACTATAGCCAGAGCAGAAAGAGGGGCAACTGATTATTTACAAAATAAGTAATATCCATTTTTGTTTTCATTTTTCTGGGACCACAGTGTTGCCAGTTGGTGTTTGAATGAAAATAACGCCTGATTACTTGAGTCTTCAAATATGTAACAAGGTTTTTAGTGCTAGAATTTTATAAAGGACAATTATTAATATGCAGAATAAGTAAGTGAAAGCTATATTTACATAATTACAGGGGGTTCATCTGTTCTGGATTCCCTGTGTTTCCAGTTCCTATCTGTACCAGTGTACATATACTGGTCTAGCCAGATTTGTAAGGTAAAATTGGGATCATGATAGTGGGGAGAAGGAAGTATTAAAGAACTAGAGGAAGTTGTATGTTTCATCATTGCTACACTGTACCCTGACTGGCTCGTCTCCTTCCCATGACCCTTCTGTAAGGGGATGTCCAGTTGCCTACAGATGGGCTTTAGGTCCCCACTCTGCACTCCCCCTCATTCGCAATGATACGGTTTTTTGCTCTTTGATACCTGATCCCATCGACACCTCATGGTCACACAGGCTGGTGTGCTTCCTCCATGTGAGTTTTGTTGCTTCTCAGCTAAATGGCCACTTGTTTACCTTCAAACCTTTAAGACTCCAGACGCTATATCTTTTGATAGCCGGGCACCATCAGCTTTCTTCACCACATTTGTTTATGCACCCGCTTTGTCTTCCTCTCGGTTACATTGCCCTTGATCAAGCCCTACCAGGCCTCCTACACCCTCCTCACCACCCATTTTGGAGCAGTTGTTGTTCCCTTGTCCCTGGGTTTGTCAACATCCACTTCCTTTGCCCCGCCTACCTCTCTCCCATGTCCCCCCAGAGGGCCCTAACAGTTCTATTGTATTAACTGATATATCTTTTTAAAAGTTAAAAACTTAAATGTAAGTGCTCTAAAAATTGTCTTATGTTGGAAAGTGAATAAATAACCCCTTAATATACCTTAGGTTACAGCATGTGCTAGATATATTGGCTACTTTGTAGAAGTTCTTAAAATATGAGCTATTTTATTACTTCCAAGTAACTCCTTGTTAAACCAAACAAATGGAAGTTTTAGTTTGAGGCAGGAAGAAAGTAAATTGGAATTGAGATGAATAGTAGAGGTGATGAGCTTGTATAAATAGGTGAAAGGTTGCTATAAACCTAATTCATATTTCACTCATTGTTTGAATTCTTAGTACAGTGAATTGTATAAATTGTTGTTTTTTTTTTCAAGTTATCAGGTTACTTGCTCAAGAGATTGATAGACAACCATCTGGAAAATTAGTTAGAAATGCTTTGATTTTGTTCACTTGACATTAAGCACGGTGTTTGTAATAAATAAAGTTGCTTTGAATTATATTGATCTTTCATTGTGCTATACATTTGTAGTGAATCACAAGAAATTATTTTACTTATAAGTAATTACAATTGTTTAAAAATGCCTATTTAAAGAACAAGCTATTATGATTGTTGGTCATTGTGATTAAATTCTCAAATTAAGTTTTGGTTTGATTTACAGGTAAACAGTGTTGATCTCAGAGCTGCCAGCCATGAGCAGGCAGCAGCTGCATTGAAAAATGCTGGTCAGGCTGTCACAATTGTTGCACAGTATCGACCTGAAGGTAATAAACTCTTGCTATGTATGTTTATTTTAGATGTAGAGTTTAAGTTTTCATCTTAACAATGTCTCATTTTCTAAGTTTACCTTTTTTGTTTGGGTTTGGCTTTATTAATCTAATATTTGTCTAGCCTGAGCCAAATTTACTATCCATGTATTTAAATATGATAATTAGGTTATAAGAATTGATATCAGCCAACTACACTAAGCATTCTACCATTATTTGGATTAATTTTCAGGTTGTAATCCAATGTATGCCTTTCCATAGTTTATTACTCTATAATGATAAAGCCGTATGCAAATATAGTAATGGTCTTAAAGAAATTTGAGTCATCTGAACTTTTTACAGCTTTTGAATTAGGTTATATTTTATCAAAGTCTAAGACATTGTTTCTAACAATAAAATAACATTTTGTTATTTAAGATAAGTAGAAGAATGCAAATTTTCCTTGTAATTGTTTGTAGGTAGTGAAGTAGCATGGATATGACCTTGCTGAATCCCTAAGGGAAGTAAGTGGTAATGGAAAAATTGAGATTGCCATTTTAAACATACTGAAGACTCCAGTGTACACCAGCATAACCACTTTCCAGTAAACCTCAGTGGGATTTTAAAACCTTGAACACCCAAAAGAATACATAGCCTACTAGTTAAGGTTGATAAACAACATGATGAAAAAAGAATGATGTTACTTCATGAGCTAAATGATAATTTAGCAACTGTTATATTTTTAGTTCTTTTCATGGAGTGGAATTTATTTTTGTAGCAAAACATACAGGGTTTTTAGCTAATCAAAGTGGCAAAAAAGATAGTACTTGTTATTCCATAGTATGTGCCTAGGTTCCATTGCCTTGTAAACCTCAGTCTTTTGGGACTCAGTAACCTCAATGGGGGTAAATTCCAAACAAATTGTTCACATTAACCAAACAAGTAAGGCTTAACATATAATAGCAAATGACAATCTATTAATTGGGGTGGGGGGAGGCGGGAATACTGCCTATTGGAACCATGCATGCTTTTTTATCTTTTGGCCAACATAAAGGTATACTATATAGGAAACGAAGTTCGACTGAGTTTGTTTAGTATGAAAGCCTTTCATATGTTGATAAAGAATGTAGACTTTTAGGTATGATTAAGGGTAATCACCCTCCCCGGAATGCACACAATAGTAAAGTAACAAGGAAAACCAAACATACGTTTACACCCTACTTATACTACTCATACTTCATATTAAGCAAAATTAAGATGATAGAGTCAATACTTAGACAACAAAACACAGTCAAAGGTTGCTCAAATAACTGAGTTCTAGCAAAAGATACATGGAAAGAAGGGAAGAAAAAGCTACAGAATGTTTAGAATGCTCAATTTTAACAAAAAACAAAATATAACAATACTAAAGGTGAGGGGCACCTATAGACACAAAACCATTGTGAGGTTTTTTGGTTTTGGGGTTTTTTTTTGTCAAGCTTCATGGAAATTGGGGTAAGCAGGCTAGAGCGACAGCCCTCCTTGATGTTGTTTGGATTAGAAAAGCAGAGAACTCCTGTGTGGGTAAAGCAGTGTATCTCTATAGCATCACATAATGTGACAACCTTCTGTTTATAAGCTTGTAAAGATAACCTGTTTTTCCCTTCCTTTGCACACACCTGAGCCTACAAATACCCGGTTTAGCAAAATTCAACTTATTCAGTGGAAAACAATTTAAAAGTTAACCAGGTTAGTATTAATACAGAAGTGTTAATAGGAAGACATGTGAATATGCTGCAAAGTTTGGCAAGGTAGAGATTAGTCATGCATACATTCCAATCTATAGTGATCTTTTATGTGCCGAGTAGAACTATCTACTACTTCATCAGATCGTCAGGCCTGTTTACAAGCCCATCTGATAGGCTTGAACTGCCAATCTTTCAGCCAGTAGTTAAACACTTAAATATTTCACTTACTCAGTGTGCCCCCTACGCACACGCGCATGAGCACACCTGTGCCCAGACAAACACTCACATGAAACCATTGGCTAAAATAAAATGAAACGTTGGCCTTAATATTTTTAATAATTTAAGCATTTCACTTCTTTGAAGAAGACCAAAAGGTATAAATGGTGAAAACTATAGGGGGAAAAGTAGTGCAAGAAGAAGAAATTAATTTGAGCCAGCAGAACCCAGGAAAGAACAAAGGAGAGATCAGTATCTGAGCCTAAATTGTGAGAATCTAGTGTGTGTGCGGAAGGCAAGGGATGGCAATGGGAGCCTAAGATTCATTTGTGGAGCTGTACACATAGGAAATAAGCCTCCAGAGAACTCCCCCTATTCTAAAATTATGGGAAGGGACGAAAGTGGTCACCAGAGTGCTTGGGAGAGTATAGAAGATCAAAGTCATAGATCTGACCTGAACAGTTAAAACTTTGTCAGTAGATTCCCCCGTATGATGCAGGCTGGACCTGATCTGGTTTCCAAAATTTTCTGTATTTTGGGTTTGTATTTTCTTCGGGTTTTTTTGTGCGTTCTAGTAGAGTGTATCTCACAGGTGTTATGTCAGTGTAGGTCACCCTCTTGAAGCTGTGTTACATGCTTTCCCATTTTTCTGTATGTGAACCTGTAGGGACAGCAAGTTGAATAAGGGGTGCAGGAGGAGCAGAGTACAGTGGTGGTGGTAGGGTATTAGGGAGACAATGTCAAGGAGTCCATGTGAAAAAAGAATGGTTAGAAACTGATTGTGATAGGAATTGTACAATTCTATATGATGTGTTTGAAATATGGAATGATATGTTTTATGTATTAAAACCCAACTAATTAAATTTTGAGGGAATAGGTTTTTATCAAGATCATATAATAAATTCTCTTATTATTAATTAAATAATATCCAATAAAAAAACCACAACTAATATCTGAGATTGGAAAACAAAGGTGAACAGACACTGCAGAAAACTCAGTGGAGGGCTAGAGGACATATCAGGAAACAAGCTGAATGAAACAGACATAAAGAGAAAGGAAAGCTGTCTGATCAAGATGAATTCATAACTACCTTTGATTCAATTGTGAAAGCTGGAAATAAAGAAGGATCAGGAGTTGCAAAAGAAGGCTGTAGAAATAAGATGATAAAGCAACTAGAGATGTCATGGTAGAATTTTGCAGCTTATACTTTTAAATTCCTTTTTTCAACAACATTTACTACAGCTGTGCACATGGCCTGCATAGGAATCGAACCAATGACATCTGTAGATAGCTTAGTATCATCAGTCAGAACAAGGCAGGGACCAACAAGGCAGGGACTATCTCAAGAACAGATTTGGCATTTGAACACTAATGATAGAAAACCAGATGAATTGTGGGATGACATCAAGGTTATCAGACATGAAGAAAGCAAAAGGTCATTAAGAAGATACAAAGGAAAGAAATACAGGCTAAATACAGAGTATATATGGTATGTTTGGGGTACATATTTGCAGAACTTACCTGCCCTTTTTGCTGTGTTGCTACTTACCTTTTGTTTATTAGACAGTGGCACAATACAGCTTCCTTTATTACTTTGATATCATTTATGTATTTTTAACAGGTATACTTTTGTTATACTTTTGTTGTATGGCACTTTAAGAAAACATTCTAGATATATCATCAATATGTAACTACTATGAGGATCAGGGATATTAATTGAAGATAAGAATCAGATAGTTTTTCTTAGTGAACTGGCCGTTTTAAGAACTACACAAGGTATCTCCTGACACTGATAATCATTTTCTTGCAGTTAGTGTCTTTACTAGAGATGAATCCCTTGGGATTCTCAGCTTCATTGGTAATCTGACATATACACATACAGAGTAAAGAGGTAAGCTTTTAGTAGGAGTAAGTTTTTATCTTTCAGAATCTATAGGTTACCTTATTAATCTTCTATAAAGTTCTAATACAGCTTTTCCAAATTGTGAACTTTTTAAATTTCAATTTTTAGTTATAAGAAAAATAACTTTGGAAGACATTTAAAAGCACTAGGTCTGTTAATTCTCATCAGATTAAATTCTTCCTGTTTGAATAAGAGTAAAAACTGTATGCCAAGGCAATACTAAAAGTGTTACGTTGTTAGTTTTTCAAATTAGTATAATGTATAAGCCAGTTACTGTTATCCAAGTTACATTTTAGACGAGGAAACCACAGCAAAAAGAGGTTAAATAACCTGCCAGTTACACAGTTTATTAGTACATAAATGGGGATTTCTTCACCTTTGAACTCTCTCTCGAGAGCTAGCTCACTTCTTGGAAAGCCCAAACTTTAGATATCCTATCCTGTTGTTCCTCAGTGGCACTCTCATGGTACTGTGGATTAGGTATGAATCTGCTAACTGCACGATTACCATTTCAAACCACCAGCTTCTCCTCAAGAGGAAGATGAGGCTGTGTATGCCTGTGAATATTTACAGTCTCAGGTTGCTTTGAGTTGGAATCAAACCTATGTTGTAGATGTACCTAATCTCCAGATTCTATTTCGATTATGATTTTCGTTGCTACTCAAAAGGATGAGAGGTGGAGACTGAATAGAGTGGTTTAGACAGTTGTATTTCTTGGCAAGCATTTGCCATGGTGATTTTTAGTTTCCACTTAAGTTTTTTAGCCTCCTGCTTTTATGCTAATTAACATTTGTAGTCTACTTTTATACCTTTAACTTTCAACTCTTTAGTGCTAATTAAAAGCAACCAGCCTGTCTTCTCTAAACTAGTCATAATATCCATCGTTTAAGAGTTATCACGCTCTGGTTTTGAAATATTTCTTTGTTTAGGTACTGTCAGATTGGTTCCACCTCAAAGCAACCCTCAGTTCAGCAGAAGGAAACACCGCCCAGTCTTGCACCTCCTCGCAATTGTTCCTATGCTTGAGCCCATTGTTGGCAGCCACTGTGTCAGTCCGTCTTGTCGAGGGCCTTGCTGTCTGTTGCTACCCCTCTACTTTGACAAGCATTTTGTCCTTTCTAGAGACTGGTCTCTCCTGATGACTTATCTAAAGCATGCCTTTCAGTGTCTCA